TGGCCAGCTTTGGCAAGCATTAACGTAAGCCTAGGAACTGTAGCCATGTGGTTGGATTCTTCAGAAGGTAATGTATGTTTTGCTTTTCAAGAATCTGCCTCTCCTTGTTTTTGTAGGGTGTTTTTCCCCCCACTTACGGTTTGAACTAGTCTGAGAATCGGCGGTAGATGCTTAATTCAGACAGAGTTTATAGAAGGGATGTGAGTAGAGTGAGGTAAAGGGGACATTTCTGGAGAGAAGTTACCAGGATTTTGCTGCTAAATACAAGTTATTTGTTGACTTGATTTTCAGTCACACCCTGAACCACACTGAATCAAGCTAAAACTCTACATCCAACAGTTTGCTGAGAGGAAAAGAAAACTTAAAAACAAAATAGATCCAAAAAATGAAACCCTAAGGTGTAACGATTGATGGTCTAGAAAGACAGCCACTAGTTAAGCTTTAAAAAAAAAACTCTTATTTGGATATTTTTGTTATTATTTGACAGTTTCATATATTTGTATGAGTTTAGTCACAACCACTCCCTCTCCCCCTCCCTCATCCCCCATCTCCTCTTTCAATTCCCCCTTCCCCCCTCCCTCAGCCCCCTCTCCCATTGGCACCTTATTCTCAATGAGTCCCCCCTCATACTTCATGTCTCCATTTTGTGTGTGACCCCTGAGTTTAATTAATTACATGAGTACAAGAACATTCAATGGAGCGAGGGCAAATTATCTGTGGCTACATCAGTAAAGAGGACAGAACCCCTCCTCCAATAAACGCTGATTGACAAATCATTCCTATGGGAGAGGAGGGGCTTCATGGTCCCTCTCCCATCCATGATGAAATGTTGAGGGGCCCAATCTTGTGCACATGACCAATAGACACCATGAGTTCATGAGTACAATGACTCGATCACATCCAGAAAACATCTGTTTGCTGTCCACCTCCCCATCTTCTGGCTCTTACATTCTTTCTGGCCCCTCTTCCACAGTGATCTCTGAGCCTTGGTGGAGGTGACCTAGCTGCCCTGTTTAGGTCTGAGCACGCCACCATCACTGATCCCTGGCACTCTGTCCAGTTGTGCATCTCTACCCATGGCAGTCAGCAACTTCTCTGATGAAAGCTGAGTGCAGCACCAATCTATCGATATACACATGAATATTTGGAAGGCAGTTTGCCCACATAACTATTTAGTATTGGGTTATTTCGTAGAGTCTACACCTCCCCAACCACAGGTTCTTGACCAGGTTTATAGAACCAGATGTGAAATAGGCCTGGGATCCATTGGTTACCCCATGACAGTCATCCACTATTGTACTAGAAGGCACATCTGGCCTGATATTGTAGCTTGAATGGTTCACAGATGAGTGAGCTCACAGCTGATTTTCTCCCCAGGCAGCCTAGGTAGCACCTTCTTGGAACATGAAGGTTAGCCACATGAAGATGTTTCCATTTCAGTTTCAGATGGATCCTTCTATGACCAGTGACTAAAGTATTGAGTGTCTTCAGCAATATGGTCTTACCACCAAGTTCTGGTGGGCAACCAAGAGCAATAGTATTAGCCTGTATGGTTGTTGTTGTTGTGGTTGTTGTTGTTTTGGGGGGGGGTGTTTTTGGAACCTTCCTGGTCACGGACTTGTAGGAAGACAACCCATATCTGGCATTGAGAGCTTTGTTGAATAACTCTTCCAGTTTGCTTTTCTGTTGCTCTGATAACAAGCACTCACCAAAATCAACTTGAGAAGGAAAAGATTTATTGCATCTTACAGTCCATCATCAAGGGAAGCCAAATCAGGAGATTGAAGCAGAAACCACAGAGAAATGCCACTTGCTAGCTTGTTTCTACACTCACATCCAGGGACCTTTATACAGTCCAGGCCCACCTGCAGAGGGGTGGTGCTGCCCACAGTGGGCTGGACTCCCCTACATCAGTTAATAGTCAAGACACAGCCAAGGCAGATCTGGTGGAGTTAGCTCCTAAACTGAGGTTCTTTCTCCCAAGGTGTGTCAAGTTGACAACCAAGATTAGCCATCACAAACAACCAATGGCTTCCGGGAGGAGCATGACTCATTCATTGAGGGCACCTCCGTTTGAACTCAATGATTAATCTTATTATATATTCTGCGGCACATCATCTTATAACCCCTCTCACCAAACCCATCCTAACCTCATCATCTAAGAGGGAGATGCATTGGAAAGTAAATAAAAGAGAACTGGAGCAGAAAGAAATACTTATCAGAAATAAAAACAAGTGGGAGGCATTACCGCATCCTACGTGCTCTCCTCACATTGTCTGTGCAATGATAATAAAACCATTATGTTCCAGGTACAATAATTTTCAGTGTTACCAATGATATAAATAATACTGCTTATCATTCATAAACCACATTTGTGCTAATCATTTTGATGTGCTTTCCTAGCTCGCTCCTAATGGAGAACTGATGAATTGGAATTGTTCGTTTGCTCATTTACACACGAGGGAAGTGAGGTTTGGATGTTGAGCCAATTTCCCAATACTCTAAGCTAATAAATGGCAGAGAAAGAAAGCCGCCCTTCTGCCTGACTCTGTGGCATGGGCTCATGAGAAATGGAATGCAGAGTTCTTCGCAGATTCCAATGCTCCGTCTATGGCCATTGAACATGGTCTTGGATCCAAGGATTGGGAATAAGGCTCAATTCAGCTGAGCCCCAGCTCAAGATTCCTGCAACAGAACAGCAGAGGATGATAGAGAGAGGGGAGACTAAGCTAAGCATATGTGCATCCTCAACAGATCGTAGAGGTTGATGGGACAAATCCAGGGCAGAGGATCTGTGTGTTGGTTTGTGTGTGGGTGGACAGAAACCCTTGTTGAATTGCCTGCCTCACACTATATGCAACTATAATGAAGGCAGGGCCTGGAGGTCTCTTTGAAGTCCAAGGTTTTTGTTTTGTTCCATTTTTTCTTGTGTGTGTTGTGGGGGGGTATATGTGGGGGGGTGCACATCAGGTGTGCATATTTACATGCATGAGCACGTATGTGGGTGCTTGTGTACCTGTGTGTAGGCATGTTTGTGTGAGTCTGTACATGCACGAGTACAGATGTATAATGTAGGGACTCCTCCGTTTACTCTTCCACTTTATTCATTGAAGCAGTCCCCAGCCAAACCCAGAGTTCACCAGTATGACTAGTCAAACCCAGAGTTCACCAGAATGACTAGTCATGCTGGCCAACTTGCTCTAGGGAACCCCTGTCTCTACCTCCCAGGACTGGAATTATATGTAGGCCACAAAGCCTACTCATGATTTACTTGGGGATCCAAATTCAGGTGCTCACACTAACATGGCAAGTCAGCCATCTCCTCAACCCATCTAGATGGTTCCAAGTTCAAGTCTTGATGTTGGACCCATCTAGTTTTTATTTCATTTCTTTCTTTTTTTGTCATAATATCAGAATTAGGTTAAGATACTGTCAGCTCAGCTTTTTGGAGCCCATTCCCTGTGGTGGGACACCTTGCACAGTCTTCATGCAGGACCTGCCTCAACTGAATGTGCCAGGCTTTGTGACTCCCCATGCAAGGCCTTACCTTTTTGAAGGAGGGGATGGGTGGGTTGGGAGGGAAGGCTGGGGCGAGGGGAGCGGGAGGATGGGTGAGAAGGGGATCTGTGGTTGGTATATAAAATAAATCAACGAATTTCTTAATAAAACAATATATATGGTCAGCTCAAATCACTCCCACTTGTGGAGTCTAAGGGGAAGAGGAACTACTGAATCTTTGTCCTGTAAGGTAACTACCTTGACAGACGAGCTGAAGGATGCCATGTTCCACCTCAATGTGCTGCTGCTGCTGTTGATGATGAGCGAGTCTGGCCAATAAGGGGCTGCTGCTGAGTTGCTTATAATGACAGATAAAAAGCTGAGCGTGGTGGCACACATCTACAATCTCAGTACTCAGGAAGCAAAGGCAGGGAGATCACAAATCCAAAGCCAGCCTGGACAACTAGCAAAATGTCACCAGACAACCACAGCTTTTCTCTTCCTTTCTGATTTCTGTTTCTCCTCTTTCTTCTAAATCGACGCTGTCATTCTGGTTTGGGATGGCTGACTGGACTTTCACTGTGTCTGGAGGTCCAGGATCTCCAAAGCACCTTGGCAAGCCCAACCGAGCGGCAGGCAGTTCTGTTTTGGTTTTTGAAGAAAATTACAACACAGCTATGATGCTGTCTGAAGAGATGGTTCTAAGACAGGATGATGCCGAGAAAACAGAAAAGGCGTGGATCTCGTGGGCCACCCAAGCTAGTTTCCTTACGATGAAAACAATGATTTTTTTTTCATCCAGGGTCTGTGTTGAAAATACAATGCTTTGTTTCCATTTCAACATTGCATAATTTCCATATGGCATGGCTGGGAATCTTTTCTGATATTAAACAGATTATAGCAGTGACAAGTTGAGTAAACACTGGCATTAAAAAGGGTTTTAATGATGAATAATTTAAAAAAAATTTTTTTGTCTGTGGTGCTAAGTTCAGTGTTCTTCACAAACTCTAAAACATAGTCATTTCTTTTTTAAATCATCAAACAGAATGGACCTCATCTTTTCTCAATCTTGGTCTAACCAAAGCCACAAAATACCATTCTTAGTTAAAAAAAAAAAAAAAAAAAAAAAAACCTGCTTGTGTTTCATTGACTTTTTTTCCAATTAGTTTCTTATCTTTAATGTTATTGAGTTGGGGCTCGTTCTTAAGATGACTGTCTCTCATTGAATTAATTCTTTTCTCATTTTCTAGTGTAGATAAGAACTTGGGTTGCTGGCCTGCGACCACTGTTTGCTTCTAATATAAGAATTAGTGTTGGAAATAAAAATTCCCTCTTAGAACCTTTACAACTACACCCCACAAGTTTGGATGTTATGTTTCCCCTTCATTTTCAACACTGCCTATTTTATTTATTTCCTTCTTGACATATGTATTGTTTATGGATGTGGGAAATTCCCTATTGCCTTTTATTAATGACTTCTGCTTTGATTTTTGTTGTGTTAGTAGAACACATCCTGAGAGGCTGGAGATGGAGATCAGTGGACAGAGCGCTCACCTAGTACTCACAAAGCCCTGGGTTCTATTCCCAGCACCACATAAGGCAGGTGTGGTGGGTATACACCTGCGATCCCCGCACCAAGAGGTAAGAAGCAGGAGGATCAGGAGTTCAAGACCATCCTTGGCTACATAGTGAGTTTAAGGCCAGCCTGGGCTACGTGAAACCTGTGTAAACAGATCAACAAACATATTCTACAAGACATCCTTTCTTCGATGTTTACCACATTTTGTGCTGTGATCCCTGAGAGTCTGCCCATCTTATTGGGTGGTCCATGGGTACTCCAAGAAAAAGAGACCATCCTGATGCTATTGGGAAGTGTCAGTCAAAGACACTGGCTGGTGGAGCCCTTCACATCCCAGCTGGCTTTCTGCCTACTTCTGTTGTTGATGAGCTGACCCATATCCCCAACTTTAATTGTAGATCCCCTGTTTTTCTTTTCAGCTCTATCCATTCTTGCTTTGTGCAGAGGCTGTGATGGGTAGTGTTATGAAGCATTGGGGTCTCCTCCTAGTCCACTGAACCTCTCAGCTCAGTATGATATTTCTCTGTAGAAATATTTACTCTGATGTCTACTTTATCAGAAATAAATATGGTGCTCTTTCTCTTTTCATTTTGTTTCGACACAGGGTTTTACTGTGTAGCTGTGGCTATCCAGGAACTTGCTATATAAACCAGGCAGGCATTGAATTCACAGAGATAAACCTGCATCTGAATGCTGGGATTAAAGGAGTGATCACCATGCCTGATGACTTATTTTTTATTTTTTAAAGATTTAAAATTTTTTTTCTGTGTGTGCGTGTGCATACACATGCACTCAAGTGCACCATGTGTGAGTATGGTGCCCAAAGGGGCCATCAGATCCATTGGTGCTGGGAACTGAACCCCAGTCCTCTGCAAGACCAGACAGTGTTCTTAACCACTGAGCCATCTCTCCAGCCCCTTCTGCCCTCTCTCCCATCTCTACTTCACTGTTGAACTTGCCTGGGCACTTTTCTTGAATTCCCACTTACTGTCTGTTTTGATCAGTAATTCCCATTTGGTTTTTTCTTGTTTCTCCTATTTCACTGACGTTGAGTATTTTCTTCTGTTTGGGGAGTTTCTCACAAATGCTTGAACCCTGGCTTTAGGACAGATGTTTAAAATCCTTGAATCATCTTGGTGTCACCATCAAGGAGTTGGTTTTCCTCATCTGCTTTTGATTTGGGGAACGGTCATGGCATGGCAACGATTTCCATTTTAACCTTTATGATTTGTCAAAAAGGTCGGCAGCCCTGGTCTTTTCCACATTGTTTTTTTCTTTCAGCAGGCAGGTACCCTGCTAGGATTTAGCACGTCTTGGCTGTGGGTCCAAGGCTGTTTAACTTTCATAACTTTATGTTGTCATTTTGATTTTTCTGGATTTGTCTAATTGAGTAAAGGGGATTATTCCTCCAAGCCATGGTAGACACACTTCTGAAGGGTCTGGACATATGGAGATGCCCTTACCAATGTAGACGGGTAGTCCAGGGTTTCTGGTCAGAAGAGTCTCCAGCCCTTAAAGGCCAAGGGTCTTCCTAGATCAGGCTTCTTCCTGGGCCCCTCACCTGTGTCTGCACCTTTACGCCATGTCAACTGACTGCCACTGCTGTGTCAAATGGCCACAGACCCTAGACTAGAGCAATACAGTTTTCTTTTACACCCTTCAAAGTGAAGACTCTGAAAAGGGTTCCACTACCTAAAGGCAATGCCTGGAGCTCTTAGATCGGTGGTTTTATTGCCTTTCCCTTTACCTACTGGCCCCTTCCATCTCCAAGGCCAACAGTGAATGGATGGGATGAGTCCCTCCCAGGCTGCACCTCTCTGACCGACACTCTTCCTCTCTCCCACTTAGCGCCCATGTGATCACACTTAGCTCATCTCATCTCCAGTCAGCAATAACAACCTGATTCATTCTGCCAGCCTTGCTTTCCCTGCCCTATGATCTGCTTGCTCACTATTCAGAGGCATTCTCATCCATGTTGTCTTGATAAAACAGAATAACACCGATTGGGTAGGTCTATAATGAAGCGGATCTTACATGACTCCTGGTTCAAGATCTCGGGCAAGGGACCATCAACAGAGGAAGACATTCTTGTTGGATGTTGTCATCTCAGAAGGCATCCAGTGGGCTAAGGAGACAAGAAAGGGAGCCAAGCTCCTTTTCATAATCCAACTTTTCCCATGATAGCAGCATTAATTGGTGTTTGAGGTCAAAGCCTTCTTGACCTGATCACTTCCTCCCAAATACGGTTCCACTGGGGATTAATCTTCAGAAAATTGCTTTTGGGGGGAAAACACACCCAGACCACAGCTAAGGGTGAAGATTTGGACAGCTGTAGCAGTAGGAACCTTAGTCTGCCTACCTCGTGTACCCTTAAGATCTCTAGCCACTTCCTCCTCCATGGTAACCCAGCAGCTCACTGAGTGATGCGAGTTCTAGATGGTTACCGAGATGTACAGAGACTGGACCACTTGGCCACGTCCTGTCACCCATGCCAAGCCATCTGTGGGAATAAGAATACAAATAAAATTCAGAGTGTCTCTAAACTATAAATCCCCAATTTAATCAAAACATTGTTTAGAGTCTATTCCTTGATATTGATGTACCTTAAATGCAGAAATGAATGGCCTTTGTTGTGACATTTTTGCCCATGTTTATACCGCGCTTTGACTATCTCCATTCTCCCTGTTACCCTCTTTGTCCACCCGAACACCCACCCCACTGGTCCCCTTTCTCTTCCTAAAGACCCCCCTTTTATTCAATGTCCTTTACTAGCTCTAAATTCACAAATGTCATTTTGAATTTGGCTTGTTTTATTTCACATAGTGTACTTTCCTGTTCCATCTGTTTTCTGAGAACAACACCCTTCACGCTTATCCGTAGATGAAAAAATACGCGATTGTGTATACACCACATTTTCTTTAGCCATTCCTGCAGTGATTGGCAGCGACGGTTACCACGTGGCTTGTCTATTGTGGGTAGTGTCTAGTGTGACCACCAACACGGTTGTGCGGAGATCCTAGTTAGTTGGTAGTGTCGACATGACACAACCTAGAGACATCTGGGGAGAAGGAACATCAAATGAAGAATTGCCTCCATCACATTGGCTTTTGCCACATCTGTGAGGAATTATCTATTTTTTTGATGGTAGCTATGGGAGAGTCTAGCCCACTATAGATAGGGTCACCCCCCCTAGGCAGGTGGCCCTGGGTTGTAGGAAAAGGAAAGAAAGCTGAGTGAGCCATGGGTTGCAAGCCAGTAAGCAGCATTCCTGATGCTTCCCACTTCAATTCCTGCCTTGAGTTTCTCTCAGTAACAGATTAGTACCTGGAAAGTGTAAAGTGAGACGAATTCTTTCCTCTCCAAGTTGGTGGCTACGATGAGCATATTTTTCTTGTATTTATTGGCTATTGGTACTTCATCTTTTGAAAATTCTCTCGTTTGTTTATGGTTCTTAGAAAATATTAAATGTTTTCTCTCATGGTGTGTGGGGGGGGGGGGTTGGGGGGGGTGGGGGGGTGTTCTCTCCAGGACAATTTTATTAGTCTTTAAAAAATCCCAGGGCTATAAATCTCAGCAGGTGCCTGGAGGAGGAAGATGAAGGGGAGAACAAGGGGGAAATGTCATTTAAGTTAAAACCACATTGAGGTCAGCCCTATGGTGGCCACATAAAGGGGAGGACACACTTAAAACAGAGAAAGAAGAAAAGTGAAGTTACATTCAGGAAAGTGGCCAGACTTGCAAAAGTACCGTAAGTCAGTAAGCTCTGAATATATATATAAATTTAAAAATTTAAGACATTAAAGTAGAAGAGAATTATGTGGGAAGAGGAAGAGGAGGATGGACAGGGCATAGTGGGGACAGGGGAGGATGCTGGGAAGGATCCTTTTGGAGTTCTGAAGAACTTTGTGGCATGAACAATTAAAGTGCCCTCTATAATTTGCAAGCAAATTTCATATTTACCTATATCCAGTATTCTGTCTGCCCATATTTCAAAAATGAAATTACCTCATCTATTTCATCCTGTTTTACTGCATTTGAGCTAATAAATTCCTTGTAACCAGAAGTGCTGGTGAATTTTAAAGGCATTTAAAATATGACTGGTCGATATCGGGTTTGTCATGAGTTTACCCCGACTTTGGAAGCAGGCCCAGGACCTAATTTTTCCTCGCTCTTTGCAAAGGATCCATAATTCATGATTGCCATTGACTTTAATACAAGGTATTTAATCCTGTCAAATTCCAGCTTTGTTTGAATAAAAATGGCCATCCTCTAATTACGGGTTTTGATTAAGATAATTTTGGTGTGTTATCCAGTGGGCTGCCTCAACGAGGCTGGCAACATTTCTGATACGAAGAATGGCTTAAAGATAAGCAAGGGATAGATGAGAGCTAGGAAAATAACCATCAAGTGCGTTGGTGACTCAGAAACCGGAGACTTTATTTGGGGTCTCCAAGCGGCTGTATGAGAAGCGTTTTTAGATCCGGGGTGCCAGACTTTTCTGTAACTAGGGAAGAAACCAGCCGGTGAGGGGGTTCTATGACGTAAGCAGACTCGATGATGTCACAGAGCAGTGGGCGGAGTTTGCGCATCTGCTTCACTAGGGCCGTTAGACCCTTGAAGGTGGGTTCACTATCTTCCCGGTGGTGCGAGGAAGCCAGTTCAGCTGCTTGAACCCCACAGTTCAAGAGGCTTTTGGCGCCTGAACGTTTTCAGAAGACAGAATCTGGACAACTAGGACATTTTCTCTGGGTAAATATGTTTATGAAGTAACTGGGACCTCTGTAGTCCCAAAAAGTTAAGAGTTTTCCTTGAAAACGCTTGTCCTTGTATGTGGTTACTGCCGCCCATGTTTGGTAGCTGCGGGAATGATTGAGGCCGGTCCTTCTTCCAAGTTTATTATCCTTGCTAACAATACCAAACTCATCATTCCGCTAAAATACCAAAGCTTCCCTTTGTCCGGATGTGTTTTAGAACATACAAATTGTTTCTAAATGGCTGCTGTTGCCTAGACCAATGAGTCTTCCTTTGAATTGGGGCTTGTGGCCCTGACTCTTAAAATGGGAGACTCTGAACAGCTTTTATGTAACAAACCTGGGGCTGGATCAGGAGACACAACACAGAGGACCAGTGGACAGGAGTGCCATGTCGCTGGGCAGGAATTTGTGGGTGCAGCCACCTAGCTCGTGGCTTGAGGGTGAAGGAGAGGTGTGGCTATCCTTCTGGCTCCTTTGCTATTCTGCCTTCCTTCTGCTTGCTCAGTTCGGGGACAGGTATACCACCCCACCACCCCACCACCCCACCACCCCACCCCACCACCACCACCCGCCATTATCCTAGCCAGTCAGGGAAGAGGTTCCTCAGCAGAGGCAAACTGCCTGCAGGCAGAAGAAACATATCTCCGAGATTGTTATTCTAAGCTGTAGAGAATCATGTGTCGATTTTCCTATTCATTTCTTCAAACAAAATTACATTTAGATATCCAAACCTGTTTAGCGCTGCCTTCTTCACCTGCCCCAAAGTTCTCCTGGACAAGAGCCTTGGCCCAGCATCCTCCCCTTCTTATTCTTACAGGCACTCGTATGGCAGAGGCGACAGCGTTGTGTCTGGTTTAAGCAGGCGAGTTCTTCAAAGCCAGACGGTGGGCAAGTATGAAGCCCAGGCGTAGAAAGATAGCCACAAGGCAATGGACCAAGAGTGCTGTGGCCCACCGCACTAGGTCTACAGCCATAAGGAAGATGACTCCGAAAAAGAGGGGCAGGCCACCTCTCCAGAATCAGAAGAGAGACAAGCCTTCCCAGGCCCTGGAGAACATTGTCGGCTGCAGAATTTCTCATGGATGGAAAGAAGGTAATGAGCCAGTCACCCACTGGAAGGCCATTGTTCTAGATCAACTGCCAACAAACCCCTCTCTCTATTTGGTGAAGTACGATGGAATTGATTGTGTCTACGGACTGGAGCTTCACAGCGACCAAAGGATTTTACAGCTTAAGATCCTGCCTCAGAAAGTGTCATTCCCTCAAGTGAGAGGCATCCACCTCGCAAGCACCATAGTTGGCAGAGCAGTGGAGCATGAATTTGAGGGCAAAAATGGCTCTCAGGATGAGTGGAGGGGGGTGGTCCTAGCTCAGGTGCCCATCACCAAGGCCTGGTTTTACATTACCTATGAGAGAGATCCGGTCCTATACATGTACCCACTCCTGGATGATTACATTGACGGTAACCTCCACATCATACCCGAGTGTCCACAGGCAGAGGTGATGTCAGAAGCAGACAGCAATGTCTTGATAGGTCAATATGTGCGGTACTCCAAAGGTGATGGAACCAAAAAGATTGGCAGGATCATTCACCAAGTTCTAGCCGAACCTCCCACGCATTTCATCAAGTTCGATGATGACACCCATATCTACGTCTATGATTTGGGGGAAAAAAGATCCTTTAAAGTGAAATTCACAAAGTGTGGGGAGGAAGACATATGACTTACAGAATTGAAGAGAAAAAAATGTTTGTTGTTGTGTTTGCTTCTTTACTTGTTTGTTTTTCAGTGTGTTAGATACCTCAGGGTCTCTGATGACCCCAGTATCTTTCCCAATGGCATTTGTTTTGCTCTAAGCATAAAAATTTGTGAACATGATATGTAGTGTGTAAACACTTTGTTGGGTGGAAGAGATGTGGTATGTCTGGTGGATGGGACATCAAAGGAAGAAGTATGTGTCAACTCAGGCTGTGAACAGTACCTCTAAGTGTCATAGTATGCTAAAAATGGAACAGGACTTAGCTGGTCTGGTCTGCTGGGAGAGGAACTGGAGATGGGGCGTAGGAGGGGGAGAGGACAAGATGGCTGTTTAGGAAGTAGTAGAAAGGGGCCAGAAAGGTAGACTCTCGGGGGAAGGGGGAAGGTTGAGGGAGAAACATACAATTGGGAAAGAGGTGACAGATAACAGAGCGAGGTCTTGGTACTTAAGGGGAAACAGAATAAACTGATCAGAGAGGGACACAAACATAGACTCAAAATCAGAGAAAATTAGGTTTCATTTGACTACTGATTATAGAGTAAGTCATCTTCTCTTAAGATTTATTTTATTGTTTTTAATTATGCAGCTGGGGGGGGGGGGCAGGGTATGGGTACGTGAGTACAGATGACCACAAAGGCAAGAGGAGTCAGGTCCTTCAGAGCTGGAATTATAGGTGGTTGTGAGCACTTAGACGTGGATGCAGGGAAACAAGCTCAGGTCCTCTTCGAGAGCAGGAAGTGCTTTTAACCACTGAGGCATCTCTTCAGCCCCCTAAAGTCATCTTTTAAATAAATCCAACGTTCACACGCAGAGACGAGACCAGGATGAAGGTAAGAAAGGTTGAATCAACGGTGATCTGGGGAGAGCCAAAGGACTCATAAAGACGGGACTAGAGGACACTGAGGACAAATGAATTCCAAGAAGAAATGACTGAGGGATTTCTCAGAGTGTGTGTGTGTGTGTGTGTGTGTGTGTGTGTGTGTGTGTGTGTGTGTGGTGTGTGTAAAATGGGGCGGGGCATGAAACAGGGGACCCAGGAAGAACAGAAAGGTTCTGGAAAGAGTTGAACTTGGGCCATATCCATGTTGACTCTTTAACACAGAACCTGTCCATCACTACAGAGTGTGGGTGTGGGGTAGGGGCTTCCCACAAGGACATTTTGACCAGAATAACTCAGACTAGCGAATCCAAAGCTAAGTTTATATCTACAAGACTCCTGAAAACATCGTAAAAAAAATTAAAAAAAAACTTTTGTAGGATTACTGAAAAATAATTTAAAAGAGAAAGTGAGTGCCTTATGAACTACTATCAGATGGTAAGTGGATCTGGCGTAGCTTCTCGAAGCACCGTTTGCCTCTGTTCCAGCCTGTGATCTTCCCGAGGTCTCTGATGGATGCCTTAGTTTACTACCAAGCAGCTTCCATGCCAGCCGGTTCAGCCTCACTCTCCCCCATCTCTGTGACTTCCCACGCATCTAGCTTAGGAAAGAGCACATCTGCATCAGAGGCACCTTCCCGTGTTTGCCAGTCTTCACGACTTTCAAATGCTTTGAGGTCCCCAACATGTAGCTATCTCCTTCTGAGAAGCCCTGTGCCCCATGGGGTCTTCCTGGGTCAGTGTAGTAAAAGGGAACTTCATGGAGCTGGATAGGGGTTTGGTCCATCACCATCATGGCGGCAGGGAGCACAGTAACACTCATGGCACTGGAGCAGCAGCTGAGAACTACATCCTGCTCATAGGACTCTGGTGCGGCATGAGCACAGCCCTCAGTTATCCCAATAAACATTGAGAAGCACACACTCTCTCCATCTTTGTCCTCAGCCAATTGTCCAACTGCCAATCAACTCAGCCATGACCAGCAAACCCTCATCAAGAAATCCAATACATTTGACTTGATTTTTAGGGAACGGTGTGTCCTTCCTTCATAGCTACATTGGAGTCTGACTCATCTGCAATAAAACCCACTACTGTTAAGAGCAAAATTACAAGAGCTATGACAAATACCAAGTCACAAGACAACCATCACAGTTGGCCAAGCCTTTTCAGCAGCTTTATTGAAGCATAATTTACATACTAAAAAATCCATTTATTTTAAGTATGTGATTTAATGATTTTTAAGGCAAATTTACAGCTTCCTTCCTTTTTATACTCATTTGCCACTGATTCATATGATATTCAGGTCTATTAAAATGCAGAAGTGAAGTCAAGGGACAGATCAGATTGGGAAGCAATAAGGTTCTTGTTGTCTCTCAGACAACAAACAGATTGGCAGACTCTTTCTGATGTAACCACTTGAGAACATTGGGTCTGCTCTTTGCTCACAGCTTTCGGACAAAAAGCTTAAAAGACTGAACCATGGTTCCTCCTACATCCAGTCTAGATGTGACCAGGTTTGGTCAGTATCACTAATGGCCAGGTTTATGTCGGTCACCCTTTTATCACTGTAACAAAAGATCTGGCAACTTTAAAAGGAAAATGAACTTACTTTGGTTCACCATTTCAGAGATTTTGGTCCATGGTCACATAGACCATGGAAAGGGGCATGATGGAGCACAGCTGCTCACTTCATTAGCAGCCAGGAAACATAAACACAAGGAAGGAACCAAGGACAAGAAATACCCTCCAAAGCCACATCCCAAGTGACCAACTCCCTCAACAAGCCCCTATCTCCCATTTTGCCCCAAACCTCCAAACATCATCAAGTCATGAATTCATCAATAGATTAACTCATTGATTAGAGCCCTCACAGTTCAATTATTTCTCAAAGCCCCACCTTTGAACATTGCACTGGAGACCAAACCTTCAACACATAAGCCTTTGGGGGACATTTCAAACCCAAATCACAACAGTGTCTGTCATATGAAACCCAGAGATGGGATCCCTCTGATCTCTGCAAAGGTGTCTCTGTCCATCAGTTCTTAAAGGGCAGTCTCCAGGGCAATGGCATCAGAATCACCCAGGAGCTTATAGAGATACAAGTTCAGGGTCTTGACCCCCATCCATGTATCAGAAACCTGTAGGGTGGGCCAGCAGATTGGCTTAGAGGTCTAAACTTTGCCTCCCACTAGAAGCAGCTGGGAAGATTTCCAACGATCTCCTGTTTCTAGTGCTGAGTCACACCGTGTCTGCATTACAGCCTACTGTGTGGGGTGAGACCCTGTCAGCAGTCAATCGTAAAGACCCACTATGTGTTGGTTTGAATGTGAAACAGAACATCTATCACATGCACACACAACACACACGAAGAGGCAGGAAGGGGAGGGGTCAGTCTCAAGAACCATCAAGGAATAGGGGGTAGAAAGACTGTAAGACCCAGAGATCAGTGAAAACTGGTGATGAGCAGTGTCTTCTGGACACGACAGGACCATTGCACTCGTCAATTCATGGCGGCTGTGTCAAGCCAGTCAACATTCCATCATGGAATGGGGAGGGTCTCACCATTCCTCACCTTTAGCTGAGGAGCTATGGACAGTTGATAGCAGAGGGGGATTTCTCCAAAGGTGTGGCTGATGCGAAGTTGACCATGCTCCAATGGATGGCCCGATGCCCATGAGTTTTTGAGCAACACAAATTACTCAGTGGGTTATTATGGAGGAGAGAAAAGGAGACATGGAGTTGGGAGGGGTGGGTAGGTGGAGATGGATCTGGGAGGAGTTAGGAAGAGAAGTGAGGAGTGCATGCAATCCAAATATATTGTATGAAGCCCTCAAGGAATTAATAAAAGCAGTTTTTAAATACCGCATCTGTACTGAACATATACAGACCATGTTTCTTGTCATTTCCTAAATAACAGCTCCTTGAATGGTAAGTGCGTTGTATTAAACACAAAAGCAATCCAGCAATTATTTAAAATATAGGATGAACAGGGGGGGAGGACTCGGGAGTAAAGTGTTGGCTGCACACACATGAGGACCTGAGTTAAAATCCCTATCACCCCCCATGAAACAGCCAGGTGTGTAGTCACACGTGCACCTATAACTCCAGTGCTAAGGGAGGCAGAGACAGGAGGATCACGGGGGCCTGTTGGTCGCCAGTCTAGCTCCAAGTTCAGCAAGAGACCCTGTCACTGGGGAATACAGTGGAGAGTGGAGGAATAGGACACGTTATGTTATGTTCTCCTCTGGCCTCTGCACTTACATGTACAAGTCTTTACACTTGCATGCACACACATAAATAAGTATAACAAAGTATACAAGAGGACTGCATAGGTCATATGCAAATACAATGTCATTTTAGCCAAGGGACCCGAAGACTTCGATCACTGGGGGTCCTGGAAGCCAACACTCCAGAGAGACACCAGAGGCAGGTGTTATCTTCTTCCTGCACAAACGAAACCTTGGTTGGGCATGTGTCTGGTGGCTCCACGACAGTTCTCTCCTCCTCTAAGCTCTTGTTCACCAAGACAGCGCTCTGGAAATGCTGAAAGAATTAAAAACTAAAGGCTGCATCAGGGTTTCTAGGCTTGTATTAAAATCATATTTATCGCGTTTTATTAAATGGAAAGGAAATCTCCAGCCTCCAGCAACAATTGACTCAATCATGTTGGCTTCTGTTTCATCCCGCCATGAATAGCAATTAATTGCACATCAATAGTTTCCATGCTCTGAACTAAATCGGGATGAAGGGATATGTTTCCGTGCCTACAAGTAATGCCAATGTGGATAATCAAGTAGAAAATGGAGGCGGGGGGGTGTTAGGATTCCTTTGGCTTAAGCAAGAGTGATGGCTGATTGGAAACTTATTATGCAAATAATCCCAACCCCTGAGAGATGAAGTGTAACAATAAAAATGTACTACCAAATGGGATGGACAGTCATTACTTGATTTCTTTTTTACATAGCGTGGTGGTTTAAATAGGTGTGGCCCTGATAGGCTCTTATATTTGGATATGTTTTGGTTTCCAGTTAGTGGACTATTTAGGAAGGATTAGGAGGTGTGGTCTTGTTGAAGGAGGTGTGTCATTGGGGGTGGGTCTTGAGGTTTCAAAAGCCCACACCAGCCCCACCTCTCCCTATCCCTCGCCCTCTTCCCCCTTTCTCTCCCTGCTGTCTGCAGATCAGGATGGGAGCTCTCAGATACTGCTCCAGTACCATGTCCGCCTG